ATTTATATAAAAAAATCGATTCAGGATTTTAATGAATCGATATCACGTTATCCAAGCCAGAATCGATTTTAATCGATGAATCGATTATTAAAACCCACCCCTAGTTTGTTTTTATTACAATCCTGTATCTTGGCTGGAAGGGCAGTGCTAAATATATGGTCAGTTTTAAAATGCATAGTCTTCACACTTTGGTCCAAGTTGGAACAATCAGAAAAAGCCATACCATAAAATTGGACCCTTAAGTCACTCTTGTATCTGTATTTCAGCTCATTTGGTTCAAACCAAGGGGGAAAATGATTTACTGTTTCTTTACACATTTTGCCTATTGTTTTCTTAATAGCAATTGATATTTGAGAAGTAAAGCTTTGTAGTTAAAATTAAGAGCGACACTGTTGCTATTTTAAAAATAACCTGCTTTAAATAATAGGTCAGATGCATAAGTCACTCATGTGAGACCTCTTGAGTCCCAAGGAGACAGAAAATCTGGATGTTTAGGAAATACATGTTTTGGAAATATATAAGCTGATAATAGCATCTGCTGAGGCAGGTCACTTATAAAACTGCCATGCTTATAAAAGAAATAGGCTCACTGAGAACACCTAGTGGACAGGATCAACATGACTCGAGTTTTAATGCTGTCAGACACATTTGTTGTTTCCCTGATTAAAAATATATAAGCATGAAAATATAAACTTGTCGCTATTATTACATTGAGGGTATTATGTTCTTTGTTTTGAGGGTTTTTGTGTTGTTTTTGAATTATGTGCCTGTACTACAATAAAGATCATACAGCAATAAATAAAGTTATCATTGTTCTTGCTAGTGGTTGTCTTGATATATTTCTTGAGGATACTTTGCTGTAACACACTCTATCATTCAAGGATTACTTTGGTGATAAAACTTGAAGACTGTTATAATAATTTAATGAGATTATAGTCAGAATTAGTAATTTCATAATAATATCTCAATGCCAACATGAAAATGGTTAAACTAGACAAAATTATCTGCAGCACAATCAACACTAGCAGCTAATTTTCTTGCTCTCTCACCAACAAACAGTTCACTGTCACAGATTATATTGTAATCTTTTTCGTTATTGTAAAAACAGGTAGCTGTTTGCAGAGAGTATATTTCTAAGATCCCCTTTTATTACCTGCTAAAAACTTGGGTATGTACTTCACAGAGAGACAGAAAAGAGAGATAATGGGACTAAACTGTGATGGTGTCACTGTCAATATGTGAGACGGAGGCTGAAGAACACATAAAGAGACACCAGGTTACACTACAGTGACATTGTACCTTTTTTGAAATGACTGAAATGGTGTCATTAAGTGATGACTTGATTGAACAGGTCTCTACATGTTAATCTTGTCTAGTCCAAACACAACCAGTTACTGATGGGGTGAGTGTTTTTCCAATACAGAACCATGACAGATTCGGCCTGCATTCCGTATATGCATGAAAGGTGCAATCATTAAATCATTGAAATGGCTACACTTCTGAATGCACCACAGAAATAACAGTTGACCCAGAAAACTGAGACACAAGACTGGATTATGCGCCTAAACAGGTCAGGTGGAAGAGGTACCGTTTGGACCCTTGTCATAATAAATGTGCATATTTCAGCAGGAAGAAGATTTAGAAGCCATTTGGTTCAGGATTGGTTCACACTTGCACACAGCTGTCATGTTTGTGTGCGTATCTGACCTGTTTAGGTAACTGTCAGCTGTACAGATTTATTTTCTGCTTTATTACAGTTTGTGGAAACATTACTGTTCTCTGTATGCTGCTGGTAAGTAACATATTTCTATGTCTTCAGACTTTCTTATTGGTCTACTACACTGGCAATCCACTCATCTGCCTTGACAAACATATGAACTTAAGTGACATCTCATTTTCAATCCATAGGCTTTAATATGATGTTGGTCGAAGGCTCCACAAGGTTTAGTGTTTATGGGAATTTGGGATTATTTTTTCAGAAGTGAGCTGAGGTCTGACACTGATATTGGATGTAAAGGCCTGGAATGGCTTGGAGTCTCTGCTCTGTCTACCTCTGTCTCTGCCCCCCCCTCCACCAAACATTTACATTTGGCACAAAAGCCATAAAGTGCCCATTCCATGAAGCTCTCTACACACCATTATTGTGATAATCTGAAGGCCACATGGGGTTTGGATCTGTAGTGATTGACTGCAGAAAGTAGTGACCTCTGTGCTATCCCCATCAACATCTGTGGTACTACGTGTCCTCATTCTTACACAGATGTTTGTAGAAACAGTCTGCATACCTAGCTGCTTAATTCTATACACCTGTACTGAAGTGACTGGAACATCTCAATTCAATAATTTGAACAGGTGAGTGAATACTTTTGACAATATAGAGTAAAACACGTTTAAAGAATTTGTTGCATTTGTTTCCAGGTCAGACTTGAAAGGATATTTTTAATAACAAGGACTTTTAGTACACTGATACAAAGATGAAATTAATAAAATTAGTTAACGTCGTATTAATTAAATGACACCACAGAGTGTTGTTTCTCTTTTGATGATCTCTTCAATACCTGGCAAAAAACTTATGAGTGGGAAAAATACACGTGTAACCACCCACATGTTCTGCCATTTTGTTATTTGATAAACTAACACAATAAAACAGCAGTAATCTTAGCAAACAACTTCATTAAAGAAACATTTGATTTGAATAAAAAAATACTGTACATACACAGCAGTTATAACTTAGTGAAGACTCCTTCACATTAAATCAGTTTTTATTGTAGAAATCATGATAAAGCCTGTTTGTCTGGTCAGCAGTTTGTGTTGCCCTGCTGTAGTTTTCTGTCATCAGCAGCAGGATGATCTGAGGATCCCATTACAGGTGGAGCGGACTCCTGCTTCTGTCTGACCTCACTGAAACCTGACCCGAGAGCAGCAGCAATACCTGGTCTGTAACTTCAGTATGTATAGAGAGTTCAGTAAGATGTGTAGGAAGTATATGGTCACCCCATCCCAGCAAACAAGTCATTGGACAGTTCTGGTGATGCCATCAGTCTTTATATGTCAACAGTGTATTTTGTTGAGTCACACCACACGGCACTGAGCCTTGCAGCCTTATTTCGGTCATCTCAGGTGGCCTTGAAGTATAAATAGTTGTTTACAAACCTTTATTAGTCTAAACAGCAGGAAGTTTCCCATAAATAATGAAGAAATGAGATGTTGTGGACACTATAATGCTTTCAACAAGTTAATAACTAGAAATGTGGTAACATCACTAGAAATAAATCACACAGGGCTGTAAACAAACAGACAGTTTATCCAGATCATTTAAACCACTAAATCTAGAGGTGACACAAAAGGTGAGGTGGGTGGACAACGTCAACAAATAAAGCCCCATCAGAGTATATATTAAATATTGAAACCTCCCAAATATTTCACAGGAATTGACCTCATAAACCATAAAAGGTGAATGTAGACACTATTAAGTCACCCATCCACCTTGGAAAGCCCAGGTTTTCATGGCCAAAGGTCATGAAGGAAAACTGTTTATTCCCAAACTGGTTGGTGAGGCAGGGTGGAGGGAGAGGTCATTGCTAGGTGACCTCTCATTGCTAGTCACAGAGGTATACAGCACATTACCTAAAACCTTGCAGTTGGTTAACTTGTCTCTAAACA